CCCCCCCCCCCCCCAAAAAAAAAAACGGCCCTGTCCAGTCTGGTCCAGGTCCGTCCGGTCCGGGGGGAGGGTGCCGCACGCGGCAAAGCGGACCGGACCGGTCCATCTGCTTGCAAGTATGAGAATAACAGCAACTAGATGAAGATGAAGATCTGCCACGTCGAAGAAGAACCGCTGAAGTGCAGCTTCAGTGGCAGCTGACCAAACCCCAACAATCCCACACATATGAGGAAGCGCTCATCAGCACTTGGGCGCCGAGCCCAGCTTTGTCACCAATGGAGCTGGCAGGCCCCAGCTATGGCCGCCAGCAGCATGTGGAGAAGATGCCCTGCATACATGCCCACAATAGCGCAGCAGGGAAGCAATGCGACCTCCACCAAGACTGTGAAAAGAAAAGCCACGAAAAAAAGAACCCCAAACTCGTCGGCCTCTGCGTACTTCTACCCGACTTCCCTAGACTTACAACACAGCAGCTACCTACAGAGTCAGTACAGACCTATCCGACCATCCAAACAGCAAACACCTACGGCCAAACAGTCAAGATCTACCTAGATGCATCTAGATGGAAACCTAGACTAACGGGACCCAAGGCTAGGACACACAAAAGAAAGACCTGCGGGCCTACCAGTGTACAGAAGGGCAGAGAAAGACAAAACAACAAGGCAGAAAAAGACAAAACAACAAGGCTGAAAGGCCTAAGACTACGAAGTAGAGACTACTAGCGACAGCTTCATGTTCAAGCCAATAAGGCTCAAAAACAGTCAGGCACCACAAACACACTACAGGTCATGGGATCAAGTCCTGGGTTGACTTCGGCAACTGCAGAAAACGGCAAAACAGTAAAGCCTAACGGTCTAAGACTGCCAAATAGAGACTACTAGCTCCAGGTCTGAGGATCAAGCCCAGTAGGGCTTGAAGATAACAAACCAAACGTACAATTTACAGGTCACGGGATCAAGTCCCGCAAGGCCCAAACTAAGCAAACACAGTTAGTGTACAGTCCCACTGGGATACTGCGATTCATTGCACACTGATGACCCAGCGTATGTAAAAAAAACAACAAACAGCAAACGCTCTGCCTGCACGAGCTGAAACCTGCACCCATAACTTTTCTGCCGTCGACTCGTCGAGCTATTATACTCTGGAAAAGCTACAAGTTTTGGCAAGGATCCACTCCTATCATGTCTCGTTCAGGCTGCAGGATTTTGATGGTTGTCGGCATAGTCCAGTGTTATGTACCCGATTGAACTTCAATCCACAACGAATTCACACGTTCCCATACACGCATGCAATTGCAGAGTAGACTCGAAGGAGGCAAATCCACGCAAAACCGGAGAGAGGATATGCACAGCGGAAGCTCAAAATACACAGAGAATTGAAAAACGAATTTCAATTCTGCAATCCTGATCCTCCTACAATCAATCCAGACTACTTGTTCCAAGAATCACAACCGCGTTTACAACAACCCCGAACAACCAGAAACAAGTGTTCAACGAAGTATGCAGGAGTCTTCTTCTTCCTCTTCACCACCTCATACCCCTGGCTATGGCTTCCGTAGCAGCAGTAACCCCACAGCTGTCACAACATGCCAATCTGAACCAGCAACCCTAATGATAACAGCGCCAGCTTAGCACCCGCACGGAAGTGTAGCGCTGGAAGTCCTGATGAAGTAGGAGAAAACCGATCCAGCACTTCAAAGAAGACAAAAGTTCCTCGTGAGGAGGAACAGCAGATATGGTTGTCAAGTGGAAAATGGCAGCGCCCAAACCCAACAACACAGTCCTGTGGATGCGCTCATGCAGAGCCGCGAAATAGCAGCAGTGTGATCTTCAACTTCGTTTCCCGACCCCAGCTATGGCTGGGCTTCGAGGAAGAAGATGACCTCGCCCAAAATAGAGCAGCAGCGCGCCAGCAATGGACGGGCAGAGTTTCCCCAGCCAACAAAAATGTGAAAAGACCCAAACCAAATTTCCTGCCCGCTACTTCTACCCTCTGC